CAAAAAGATGTTGGGAGCCGACCCTCCTCACCCCCCCCCCCTTTAGTTCAGAAGCAACCCAATCAAAACACTCTAAATACCAGTGGGGTTTAGGGTTTAGGGTTCAGGGTTTAGGATTTAGGGTTTAGGGCTTAGGGGTTGAGGGAACCCTGGACCCTCCCAAGACGGCCTTTGCCCCAGCCACACCAGAGCTTCAGCTTGGGCCACTTTCGGCCATGCCGATGGCGGCTGGCATCCTCAGGTCTGCTTGTTGTTTTTTTTTTTTTTTTTTTGGGGGGGGGGGGTTAGGGTTTAGGGTTTAGAGGTTTGGGGGTTTAGGGTTGAGGGTTGAGGGTGGAGGGTTTAGGGTTTAGGGTCTAGGGGGGGAAGGAGGGTCGGGGGTTTCGGGTTTAGAGTTCTGTAGGTTTTGGGGGTTCTTTGAGCTATTGCGCGAGTTTTGGGTGTGTTTTTTTGTGGGGTGATGGGCTTGAGGATTTAAGGTTCAGCGGGATGTAGGTCTGGGGCTTTGCAGTTGTGGGCTTCGGGTTTAGGGTTTAGGAACTTGGGCTTTGGTCTGGTTACCGTCATCCCGAGAGCATTCGCACTCCGACGCAAGACCTTCCTTGGGGACCACATGGACGCTCAAAGGGTTTGGGGTTTTGGGTTTAGGGCTCATGTATAGGGTGCATGATCCCAATGTTTGGGTTCATGTGGCCCCCAATGGTTACGCCCTCTCTGACGCCGCACACGCCCTCGAGCCCTTTCAATGCAGCCTCAAGGGAAGCATCGCTGAACCCGCAGCCCTAGACCCTAAGCCCCAAACCCTAAACCCTAAACCCTCGACTCCAGGCCCTGGAAGTCTAAAGTCCCCAAAACCCTAAAGGCACCCAAGTGTGACTCCGAAACCCTAAGGACCACTCGACACCTTAAAGTCAACCTGCGAACCACCGTTAATATAATGTGCACTACTATGCCCTGAACCCCTAACCCTGAACCCTGAAAGCACTAAAACAGGAACACCCTAAAACCCTAAGACGCTGAAACCCAAAAGCGCTACACCCCTAAAACCCTGAAACCGGGCCAAGACCCTAAAACCCCAAGACCCCAGACCCAAACCCTCAACCCCTAAACCCAAAAATCCTAAAACCCAAAGACCCCAAAACCCTAAACCCTAGAACCCCAAAACCCGAACCCCCGAACACCCTAAAACCCTAAAACCGTAAGGCTCTGAACCCTAAAACCCTAGAACCCTAAAACCCTAAAACCCTGAAACCCTAAAACCCTAAAACCCTGAAACCCTAAAACCCTCAAACCCCAAGACCCTAAAACTCTGAACCCTGTCTACAAGCCAAGCCGCAGAGGGGGCCCTGGGATCTGCAGGGAAGGCTGCCAGCAGAACCTATCTAGGGCTTAGAGTTTAGGGCTTGGGGTTTAGGGTTTTGGGCTTAGGGCTTAGGGTGTTTCTCAAGGGACCTTGTAGGTGGGGGGGGGGAGGGGGGCTTAGGGCTTAGGGTGTTTCTCAAGGGACCTTGTAGGTGGGGGGGGGAGGGGGCGGGGGAAGGGGTGGGGGCTGAGCCTTTTCGGGTTTAAGGCTAGGCATGGTTTTTAAGGTTTATGGGGTTTGGGGTGCCCTCAGCACCCTCAACCCTACACTGAAACCTTTGCAGAGTCGCAACTACAAGATTCTGGGATCCTATACGAGAATGGGGACCTGGGTAGTGCTTGGTACACTTACAAGTCAGCTAGCTTGTGCGCATTAAACAAAGATATGTTTTGGGCATAAATGTTTGTGGGATTGCGAAGATAGAGACCTTCTGATGCGTGCTCATCATTGCGTTGCAGCCGAAGAGCGTTCCTATGCACTCGTATGTGTCCAGTGGCCAGTCGGCAAAAGGTCGGTTGGACCAAGGTGACTTGACATGACAAGACAATTGCCCGCGCAAGCTCCACGCCTCTGCCTTTCATGATCGCAACGACAGCTGGTCACAGGAAGTCATCTGCCTGACTACCCTTTGTACTCGCGGCCTTCAACGATGCGTGTCAGTCTGGCTTTGCTTAGGCCATGCGTGTTTCCTGGCCTCCGCAGCATGTAGGCCTCCTGGATGCCCTGGAGCCGTCGATTCTGGATGAAATTCTGGCACGGTGCAGCAGCAGGTACCTGGTGCCTGCGCCCCGACCGCTGAATTTGGCGGTCCAGGTCTGCGTGCTGCCGGCGCAGAAACTTGTCCGCAATGCCACGCCGTTCTCTCGCTTCTCCCGCCGCGGGAGCTCCGGCATCCAGAAGGTTCTCTTCCGCTCTAAATTACAGTCCCTTTCCACGGCAATTTAGAGAAGTGACCATGTGACCATGTGGCTACTCCAAACCCCAAACCCCAAACCCCAAACCCCAAACCCTAAACCCCAAACCCCAAACCCTAAACCCTAAACCCTAAGCCACCTGGGGATCCTCTGAGGCAGCGCCGGTCGCGAAGCGCAGCGCGGAGCTGCGCCCAGATACCTCTGGGAATGGGTTTAGGGTTTAGGGTTTAGGGTTTAGGGTTTAGGGTTTAGGGTTTAGGGTTTAGGGTTTAGGGTTTAGGGTTTAGGGTTTAGGGCTTAGGGCTTAGGGTTTAGGGTTTAGGGTTTTTAGGGTTCAGGGTTTAGGGTTTAGGGTTTAGGGTTTAGGGTTTGGGGTTTGGGGTTTAGGGTTTAGGGTTTAGGGTTTAGGGTCTAGGGTTCAGGGTTAAGGCTTTGGAGGGTTTAGGGTTTAGGGTTTAGGATTTAGGCTTTAGGCTTTAGGCTTTAGGCTTTAGAGGGTTTAGAAGGTTCAAAAGGTTTGGGGTTTAGGGTTTGATTAGGTTTTAGGATGCAGGGTTCAGGGTTGAGGGTTCGGGTTTTAGGAGGTTGGGGTGTGATTGAAGTTTGGGTTCGGGCTTCGGAGTTGGGATCCCAGGGTTTGGGGTTGAGGGCTTGGCTTTTGGATTTCGGGGCCTGGCGGGTGTTGGGTGCTCAGGTTTGCGGAGAACTGTAGCCTGAGGTTGCGTAGGATGCTTTATTTGCCTGGCCGTTGGATGGCGTTGGATGGCGGGTTTAGGGTTTACCGTTTCGGGTTTAGGGTTTAGGCTTTAGGGCTAAAAAGGCCGTGTGGTGCTACCGCCTAGTACCTGCAGAGCCTAGAGCACCAAGGAAACGAGCCTCAGAGTTTGTGTGCATCTTTACCTTGTTCCTACCAAAGGTTATGTAGGTTGCCCTAGCTTTCACAATACCATACGTGAGCCGGTTCTGGGTGAAGTAGCTTAGTAGCCTACTCGCCCAAGAACTGCACAACTATTCACCACATCAACACCCATATAGTAGATACGTACTTGAATGGACTATATCGGAACGACTTTGTGGTCCCAGTATTCCCCAGAAAAGGAGCCGGCGCCCTCAGCAATCTAAGGAATACTTAGGCTCAAGAGTTCGATGCTAACTGCATGGCACCTTTTGGGCTTCAGTATCTGTTACGTGGCTGAGACCCCCTTTTCAACCCCACATTGCTGAAGCTTTAAACCCCCGAGGCTCTCTAACGCACCGAAGCACTGAAGCCCTGAAGCCCGGGAACACCGCCCCAACCAACTGCCGCCGCAGCCACAGCGCGGCTCACGACGGCCGGATCGCTGCGCAGGGACTGGACAGGATGGGGGCAAGGTGGGGCCCCCTTCAAAGATTCTCCTTGATCCAGGTGAGGGTGCTCAGTCAGCTAAACCCTAAGCCCTAAACCCTAAACCCTAAACCCGAAACCCTAAACCCTAGGGTTTAGGCTTGCGCCCTGATTAAAGGATGAGCCTTTGGTGGGGGATGTGGTGGGAAGCAGAGCATGCAAGCTACCGTATCGGGGGAGCAGTTGTTCCGGTGGGGCGGGGGCATCCAGGCCCAGCTAGGGGTGTTTAGGGTACGGGACTTCGAGTGCAAAAAAAGGATGAATGTCGATGTTGCTGCAAAAACTCAGCACCCATCACAAGCAGCTCTGAGCAGCAGTTTGTTTCTTTTGCCAGCGGCGAAGGCTTGGGGTTTCGGGTTTAGGGTGGGGCCACAGCGGCCTCATCGGCAAACTGCAAGGACAGCGGGTTGCCTGGCCCGGAATCGTCAGGACTTGGTGCAGTAGGACCCCTGAAACGTTTTAACTTGGGATGTTCCCCCTCGTACTAACAGTCCTGAATAGGGATTATAGTATCCTCTATTATAATCCCTATTAAGGACTGTTAGTACAAAGGGGAACATCCCAAGTTATGACCATAAACCCTCAACCCGGAAAACTCTAAACCCTGAACCCTGAAATTCAGCTTTAGGTTGTTTAGGGCTTGGGGCTGTGAACATATGGTTCCAAACCATTCAGGCACACCAGCATATGTCTTTAGCTGAGTGTATATACATACATACATACATACGTACGTACATACATACATACATACATACATACATACATGTATATATATATATATATGTTTTTTTTGTATGCGGTAGGGTTCTGATTACTTGTATCCCTATGAGGACACCCAAATATACACACTCACCACGATTTTAAGAACCATAAAGCCGCTCACCAATAACAGAAATAGAAATCCGGTTTCATCTATAGATGCACATTCTCGTAAAAGCCTTACTTGCATGAAGGATCTAGGATGGCCCTTAAAACCCTCTGAAAAAATGCTTGACATACACACACACAGTCAGACAGAGTCATGCATTCAGGCCCTGGAGTGCCAGGAGCTGCAACTTATTTAAACTTCTCGGGCTTTTCAGGGCTTAGGGTTTAGGGTTTAGGGTTTAGGTTCTTGAGCTGTTTGGGGCTTAGGGAGGCCTACAGCCCGATTTCAGAGGCGGAAGGCGTAGAACTGATCCCAAGAGCAGGGAGTTCTCTAAATGTAGGGGGTCTAGGGTTAGGGTGAAGGGTCTCTTTCTCTTAGATATGAGAGCTCAGGACTTAGGCTCAGCAAACCCAAGGGGGAGCAAGAAAACATTTGAGAGCAGACCCGGCAAAGAAAAGGCAGCGTTTGACATCACATGCCCCAGATGCTGGCGACGGCAGCCATGACGATCTCCTCAGCAGCGGGCGTGGCTTCATTCCTAAGGGCATGTACCTTATAGAATATACTTGGGCCCTAAAGCTACTACAAGGGCACCCTTTAAGGCCCAAACATATACTGTACTATATACGTACATGGACCCTTAGGGTAAGGCTTCCGCAACCTATACCCTGAACCCTAATGGGGCTTCGGGGGCAAACTCGATTGCCTGGGTAATTGTCCAAGGCTTTTGACCTCAGCCAAAATTAAGGAATTCTGACAAGTCAAGATTTCTAAGTCTGAGCCCGAAGCAAAAAAAAGGCTGCCCAATTCCTAAGCCCGAAAACCTAAACCGTACACCCGAGAATATACTTGGGCCTGAAAGCTAGTCTATGGGAACCCCTTTGAGGCCCAAGTATATACCATGGACCTACATGAACCTTTAGAGTTCGGAAACTGAACATGCAACACCCCTGAATCTGCAGCCCCGGAACGCGGCTGCGACGGAGTTCTTCCGAGGCAAAGCAAAGCGCCCAGCCTTAGGAGCCCCTAAACCCTAAACCCTAAACCCTAAACCCTAAACCCTAAACCCCAAACCCTAAACCCTAAACCCTAGACCCGAAGTCATGGCTTCCCCTACTCCCCGGTCTCCTAGGCTCCCCTCATAATTGAGGAGAATTAAGCAGTTTATGTAAGGCTATTTAAGGGGGAACCTAATGGGGGGGGGGGGGGGGGGGGGGGGGGGGAAGGCTAGTAGGGAAACTCGTCCCCTAAGGGTCCATGTGCCCGTCTAGTATGTACTTGCGCCTTAAAGAGGTTCCCATATAGTAGCTTTGGGGCCCAGGTATATTCTATATAGGTACATGGAAACTTAGGGAGTTCAGGAGAGGGGTGTAGCAGTTTTCAAGTTTTGGGGATTAGAAGTTCAGGGGCTTAGGCGTTCAGACCTTAGGGGTTTAGAAGTTCAGGGTTTAGGGTTTAGGGGTTTAGAAGATTAGGGGTTTAGAAGTTTAGGGGCTTGGGGGATTGGAGGTTTAGGGGATTGGGGGTTTGGGAGTTAAGGGGATTGCGGGTTCAAGGGACTGAGGCTTTCGGGGTTTAGGGTTCAGGGTATGGGTATGGGCTTGGGGCTTAGGAGTATAGTTGTAAGTAGGGTTTATACTTTCCCATGCCCTTAGCACATCATCCCAGCAACCCTTCAACCCCTTCAGCGCCCCATACTCACAAAAGCATTAAAACCCAAGGCCCTAACACCCTAAACCCCTAAGCCCCAAACCAAACACCCTAAGACCCTGGCGCCCTAAAAACCCAACACCGCAAAAAAAACCTAAAGCCCTAAACCCCTAACACCCTCAACCCAAATGATTGCCTTCCTATAAGACAGCTCCTCGATCCCTGTACCCCACTCATGGTTTAGAGCTTGGGGTTTGCAGGGTTTGGGGTTTAGGGTTTAGGGTTTAGGGTTTAGGGTTTAGGGCTTGGGTCTTACTGGCTATGTCATCCTGTGGGTTCGGCGCGTGGGGTTTGGGCTATTCGGAGTTGGTCCGAAGCCCCCGGTTCGTCATACTCCCCAAGGTGCACATCCTAAACCCTAAACTCTAAACCCTAAATTTAAACCTTAAACCCTGAACCCTAACCCCCCCTCCCCCCCGAAAAAAAAAAAGATAAGATAATAATAATAATAATCAATAAATACTGTAACGCCTGCCTACTCAGTACTTTGGGGGCCTCTGAGACCCCTGCCATTGCGACTCACAGCCTCCAAGACAATGCCTGCAGCCACCAGGGTTTAGGGTTTAGGGTTTAGGGTTTAGGGGGTTTAGGGTTTAGGGTTTAGGGGGTTTGGGGTTTAGGGCATACTGTAGGGTTTTTCAAGGGTTGAGGATTTAAAGGTTTAGGATTTAGGGCTCAGGGTTCTTTGAAGGGTGTAGGATTTAGGGTCTAGGATTTGGGGCTTAGGGTGTGTTAGAATATTTCGGGGGGGGGAAGGGGTGTAGAGGCTTTTGAGCAAGACAAAGACTGGCTTAATGGGTTGATCCTTAAGGAGGGTTGATGAGTCGAGCAGTGGCTCCAACTTGCACAGGGAAGATACTTTCCCTAACCCCTAAACCCTAAACTCTAAACCCTAAACTTTAACCCCTAAACTCTAAACCCTAACCAAACCCAAAACCCAAAACCCTAAACTTTCTGCAGAGTCCCGCGCCGCTGTCTCGTCGGAGAGCCTCGCTGGCAAACTCCTCCGAGGTCCAGCGTGGCTTGCGGGTTTTCGGTTGTGGCCGCACCCTGCAGTACTGTATGTCCTGAACCCTAAACCCTAAACCCTAAACCCCAAACCCTAAACCCTAAACCCGAAAGTCCCTGAAAGTTCAAGGGCGGTGCGAGGACGAACAGGCGGACCACATGGACTCCCCCCCCACTTGGCATTCTGGCACCTGGATGGAGGCTTGCATTTTTTTTTGTTTTTTTTTTGGGGGGGGGGAGTTTAGGGTTTTAGGGTTTAGGGTTTAGGGTTGCTTTTAGGGTTTAGGGTTTAGGGTTGTTTCTTAATTAGTCGGACTGTCAAGGTCTGACTGTGTACACTGTGTACAGCATCTTCTGTGTCTTGACACAGTTGGGGACACGTCGGAGCAGCAACCACCTTCGTGAGAGTGACCCGACCACAAAAGCTTAAATGTCTGAAGTGAGGGTCTCACTTCTACATGTAGGGGCCCCCTAGTTAGTACAGTAAGGGGGCCCCCTACTTCGACACTAAAATACAATGAAGCAGCAATCCCTTGATCAGGGCAGTAGAATAGAGAGCTGGGACCTCTGCGGAGCCTGGGCTGTACAGGTAGGCAAGCGCATGGTGTCTGCCGCTCCCACAAACTCCCATGAAGAAGAAGGGTCAGCCCGCCACATCATCGCTGACTGCACCCGAGAGTACGTCTCTCCCACGTAGTAGGGTGGCGCGTAGGGTGTGTGCGTAAGATTGTAGCCCCAAGACTGCAGAGAGGCGACCGTGTCCTTGTCCTCGAAAAGCGCCAGCTCGACAACGGCGTTGCCCATCCGCTGCGCGTTTTTGCCGATGGCACGGGGTGTGTTGGTGTGCTTCTGCAGCTCGCGAACATCCCTCGCAGTGGGTGCAGTCAAAGTGTATCGCAGGACATTGGCTACCCCACCAATGATGTCGGAGCCCCCCGGAGCCCCTAAGCCAAGCACCGCAAAGGCAGCGTGGCCGGGATCCTTGGGCACCACCAGGGTCGGACTCATTGAAGACCGCGGCCTCTTGCCACCCAAGGAGCTGTTGTCAGAGCCGAGAGCTGTGCGCCGTGGGCGCTTGCCCCCCTCGGCCGCGTTCACCGTCATCTGTCCTGCCGAGTCAAAGCCGATGGAGTCGAAGTCGCACATCTCGTCGTTGAGCAGGTAACCTCGCCCCGGCACGGTGACCCGCGAGCCCATGATCATGTTCACCGTCGTGGTCATGGCCACAATATTGCCCTTGGAGTCGATGATGGTCATGTGGGAGGTGCCGTGGTCCTCCGCAGAAGAGGTACCGCGCTTGGAGCTCAGCGCTCCTGGGGGCACGGGGACGGTCAACGCCCTCACCTTATTGCTGTGGAGTGCATGAGAGCTCCCGGCGCTGCCGCGGAGCTCCTCCACCCGCTGGGCCGCATAGCTCTTCGACGTCAGGGTCTTCACGTCGAGGTCCACGAAGTCGGGGTCAGCAACGTACTGGTTGCGGTCGGCAAACGCCACGTTCTGTGCATCAATGAAGAAGCCCAGGCGGGCGCTGGAAGCCTCGGCCCTTTCCACCTGCTCGAGGTAGTTGAAGATCTGAGCCTGAGCCACCCCACCACTGAAGGGTGGCGCAGAACCGGTGATGAGATATGAACTACCCGAGGGAGTGGTGTACTCATACTGCACCGGCTCGCGATACACAGCCCGATAGCTGTGCAAATCCTCTGCCGACAGCAAGCCGTACTTGCCCGTCACGTTGTTGATGCCGTCCTGCGCCGCCTTCACAAACTCCGCGCCCAGTTCTCCCGTGTAGAACTTTTCGGGGGCAGCTACCAGTAACCTTGCGGACCAAATGAACCCTAAAAGGGTTTATGGTTCATATACCTGAATAGGAAATAATGAGAATAGTACAAGGTTATATGCCACAATTTTCGGGTCCATTTGGTCCGCAAGGAACTCCAAGGTGTCGGCAAGCTGCGGATTGCTCAGAATCTCGCCGACCTCGGACCTGGGCTTCGTGGCACTGGCATCTAAGAAGAGCTCGCGAGAGGCCGGGTCGCGGGCCAGCTGTGGGGCATACTGGTGGATGCTCTTGTAGAGGCCCTCGTCCATCTTCCAGCCATTGCGAGCTAGCTCTACTGCCGGGACCACGAGCTCGGAGAGTGGCAGGGACGCGAGCTGATCGCGCACCGCGAGTGCCAGCAGCGCCGGGAAACCTAAGTTCATGGTTGGGATGGTCTTAAAAATTTAATAAATAAATATGCATACATATATATATATATGTTCCTTATTGGGTTTAAGTACCCTTAAAGATGTAAAATGCTTCCCAACTATGACAAAGAAAACCAGGCGTGCCAGTGGCATGGCCTCCGGTGCAACGCTCGGTGCTTGGCCATGTCCCATTGCACTCACAGTGCGGGTCCAGAATACACCTTGGGGACCAAGTGAACCCTAAATTATGGTATATATTACCTTATACTACTATAACTTCCTACTAATATATATGAACCATAAACCCTTTTAGGGTTCATTTGGTCCCCAAGGCACGTGGCATTTCTGCAGAAGGTCTGGGGATGGTACAATGCCGGCGCCTCCTCCCGGAAGTCCACATGGACCGCCTTTCCGTCCAGTGGCTTGTAGAGCATCACGCCCCCGCCGCTGATGGACACATGCTGGGGTTCCACTACAGCAAGCACCTAGGTCGGGCCCTTTGAAGCTTAAAACCCTCTGAAATGTGTTCCCAAACCGTCATCCTCGCGTGTAACACCCAATAAGGAGAGATATGCTGGATCCCAAAAGCCTACTGTAGGGGCCTTAATAAGTAGAAGAGTTTCTTTTGTTGGGGGGGCGGGGGGGGTTATTGATAGTATGAATATCAAGGAACCGTACAATGGAATACTATTAGTACTTTTTCCGACCTCTATAGTCTACCTAAAGGCTCTAATGTAGTTCTTTTTGAGTTAGTCATAGGGGACTCTGGTATACTACCCCAAAAAGGTACTACATAGGAGCCTTTGGGTATAGTACCGAGGCAAACCCTAAACCCTAAACCCTGAACAACCGAGGCACGAAGTGCACCGCAAGAGCTGCATCAATTGCATTGCCGCCTCTCTCGAGGATGCGGGCAGCAGCTGCGCTGGCCTCGGGATGGGACGTCGCAACCATACCATGCTGGCCTTGGTAGCCAGGTAACCATATTATAATTTTGGAGTACCCTTTTTCATGTTAGTTACCGTTACAAGGGAACCCAGAACCCAAAAAGGCCAACCTTGAACAACAAGCGGAAAAGGGTACCACTGGGCTACCAAGTGGCCAGCCACAGACTCGTGATCTGCAGCTGCGGACATGGCCGCAATCGCAGACAGCAGCCGCCACATGTTGGGCAACGCGGTGAGAGGGCGCTGGAATATGACAAGCTGGGCTGCTTCAGTATTTTCTCGAGCTGAGGTTGCAATGCATCCCTCCATCAAGCCCTCTTCCCAGCTCCGCTACTCCCCGACATAGAGGAATAGATGCCTGTAACACATCTGGAGTATGTGTTGTATATATATATATATATATATATTGTAAATACAGGTCTGTATACATGTAGTTCTTCTTGTCTATCTATATCTCCATATGTACATACATACATACATACATACATACATACATACATACAAGCATAAATACATACATACACCCCAGAATACCCAAAACTCCTATCTTGAAGGAAAAACCTAAATATTGAACCCTAAACCCGCAACGCTATACAGTAAAATAACTCCAACAAGTTGGAGCATCTGGATCCCCATACCCCAAAAGGAACACTAAAGAAAATCCCAGCTCTGGTCATCCTTAAACCATGTTCCAACTTTCTGGAGTTTACTGCAAACCCTAAACCCCAAAACCCCGAAACCCCCATAAACCCGAAACTCTACAAACCCTTTTTAAACCCTAAACCCTAAACCCTACCCCTAAGCCCTAAACCCTAAACCCTAACCCCTAAACCCTAAACCCTAAACCCTATACCCTAAACCCTAAACCCTAAACCCTAAACCCTAAACCCTAAACTCCACACGCTACGAGCGGGGTCCAGAGCCAGGGCGTCGCTGCGCACCGCCCGCAGTACCACGGAAGGATCCGTGCGGAGCAGGCCTTACAGGGAATAGAAGGGGTTTAGGGTTTAGGGTTGAGGGTTTAAGGGTTAGGGGTTAGGGTTTAGGGTCTAGGTTTAGGGTTTAGGGTTTAGGGTTGAGGGCTGCTTTCTTTTGGTTGGGGTGTAATGCTTGGGGCCCAGGGTCTGAAAGGTTTTCTAGGGATTAGGACTTTGGCTGGTGCATCTTGGTCCGGGTCTGGGGAGTAGGATTTGACAGGCTTGGTGTGTACGGCCTTGGCTGGAGATTGGGCTCAATGGTTACAACATACAAGTAGGGGCCCCTAGTTTATGCAGGGTCTATCAGGGCCCTGCATTGGGTTACCAGTCTCACTATTTGGGTAACTTAATGCCCTCAACTAAAGTTAGCATAGTATGGGGGGCAAAGTACTTGTTCAGAGCCGAGGGATTAGGGTTTAGAGTTTAGAATGTATGATCTACACCCTAAACCCCAAACCTCTGTGTCAGGCCAGGTGGCTGGATGCAAACTCCAGCGCCCATCCGCCTTAATTAGATTTGCAAGGGTGTAAGTTGGCTTCTGGTTAAGGGTAATCTGTTGAGAAGCATAAATATCCCGCCGCCGTGGAAACCGTACCCTAGTTTTTGTTACAGTTAGCGTTTCGCCTAGGCGGCAGACCTATTTTGGGAGTTTTTGGAAAGGCGTGATTTCGTATGTCGTTTTTACGAAACGTTGGGTTTTTGCAAGATCTTGGGGTCATTTTGTTGTTGGGGCCTTTGAGCGCTATGGGACTTTTCCTTTGCTGTGTGTGCTGTCGTGACGCGAGTCTCACAGGCTTTGCGGTGTGTTTTTGCGCGGCAAACACTGTAATTTCAAGACAGCCTCTGCAGCTGCGTTTTTTGGAGGCTTGCATTTCCGAAAACGCATTTGCCAAATTTCAGGACTTTGACGGTTTTCGTGGGACGTGTGTTGGGCATGGTCGCGAAAGGCTGGACGCTTGTGACAGATTTTCTTCTTCCACATCCTGGTGCAGTATGTTGTACAAAGAGGCGAAAACGCTGTAAACACCAGTGTTTTGGGCATGCATGCAATATGAATGACGTTCTTATCCCCCCACCGTCCCCTCGACCCCCCCCCGACCCCCCCCCGCTCCCCCTCCCGACCCCCCCCCCCCCCCCCCCCCGACCGCCCCACACACCCCCCCCCCCCCCGTAGCAGAAACCAGGTACGGTTACACCGCCGTATGCATAAATATGGAACAGTTTAGGACCTCGAAAACCTGTACAGCTTGTTTGAAGGTGCATGATACTTGTAAAAGGAAGCCAGTTCAGAGTTGTCAATCAGCATGCTAGAGATATTTGCGGTTCAGAATATTTTGCGATCAAGGTTACCTTACCTAAACCTGCTTTGAACATTTGCAAAGGCCCTCGAACTGTGTTTGCGTGCAGCAGTGGGAGGCCTACTATAGGCGTGGGAGGAAAAGACGCAGGTCTAAAGAGGCTAAGCTTGATACGGAGGCTTCTGGCGAGCAAAGCCCGCAACATAGTCCATATTCACGGTGGAACACCCCCGAATGGAACCATAATTCCCCCCTAGACCCTAAACCCTCAACCCTAAACCCCAAACAAGCCGAGGGTCCGAAAAGTGCCCTAGAAAGGCGGTAAGATCCCTGATGAGCCTTCATGCCCCCATAGGTGCACGAAAGGGGGCAGCCCCCTAGGGTTTAGGGTTTAAGGTTTGGGGTTTAGGGTCTGAGGCCTAAACCCTAAACTCCTACTACTTTAGGTCTTGGACTCATGGGGGGGTTGAGTGTATGGAGTCCTACGCCCTCAAACCCTTGTGTCAGGGTAGGTTCGGGGAGACCCTGGAAAATCAGTCCGAAGGTTTAGGGCTGAGAGTTTGTCATCATTTACGTAGACCCTTCACCTCCGAAGCCCGAAGGTTAGGACTCAAGACTTGGGGCTCAACTTGATTTAGGGTTTGTAAGATTCGAAGTCAAAAAACTATGAACCTGTACTCCTAGAACCCCTTGAGCCCTACAAGCCCCTCAGGCCCAGCAAGCTCTAATGGCCGGCCCTAAAAGCCTTATCCTCAACCCTCATCGTTCCTAAACCCTAAAGCTTAAACCCCCTAAACCACAAACCCCAAGCCCCAAACCCTAAACCCTAAACCCTCAACCCTGAACCCTAAACCCTCAACCCTGAACCCCAAACCCCAAACCCCAAACCCTAAACCCCAAACCCTAAACCCTCAACCCTGAACCCTTTAAACCCCAGGGGCAGCTCTCCACGGCCGCCAAGACGATCTCGCGGTCGCCCCGCAGCTCCTGGAAGGGCCCCTAGAAGGGGTTCGTAGGCCACGCCCAGGTGGAATGTTAGGGCTTACAGCGTTTCAAGGGCTTATAGGGTTTAGGGTTCAGGGTTTAGGATTAGGGTGGGCTCATATTAAGGGCCTCGTAACTACCCCTGGAATTGGGTTTATAGAGCTTCTAGGGCTTATAGGGTTTGTAGGGGCTTCGAGGGGTGAGAGGGCTTGTGGGGTTTGTAGGGGCTCTGGGGGTTATCGCCTTTATAGGGTTTTCAGGCTCTATCGTGTGTAACCCTAAACCCTAAGCCCTGAACCCTAAACCCTAGCGGCCCTCCTCGGAGAGGTCTTGCAGTGAAAGCCAGCCACCTGGAAAGGGAGGGATCAAACAAACACCAAAGGACTCACCGCTGCCGTGCTGATAGGGTGCACGGCTTAGGGACAGGGGCACAAGACCAAACACCCTAACTAAACCCTAAACCCTAAACCCTCAATCCAGCAAGGTCATTGCGACTCCTGCCATCGACACGTTGATCGGTCTTAGTATGGGGTTTCGGGTCTGAGGGATAAGCCCTCTGGAAAGCCCGAAATCCTCGAAGCAAGGTTTAGGGTTCAGGGTTTGGGGTTTAGGGTTTAGGGTTTAGGGTAAACAAAAGTATTGAAACGTCCCGTGGGCTTCGAAGATGACAACAAGGGGGCAACGTCAGGACTGTTTCCGGGCTGTGCAGCTTTTGTTGGGACTTAGGAGGCTTGGGGCTTGCGGATTTCGGATTTTCAGCGTAGTGCCTGATTTCACATGCTTTGGCAGCCCGGCGGGGGGAGCCCTCGACACCCCACAAGCCCCGAAAGCCCTCCCCTTCCAACAACACAAAAACCCCTAAACCCTAAACCCTAAAACCCAGCAGCTCCCCCGCGCCCTCCAAATCCTCTACAAACCCGGAAGCCGACCGTACCGCAAAACCTAAATCCCCGCCAAAAAATACCATCTGAAGAAGACCTAACGTTGTCCTAGAACCCTGAACCCCCCCCCCCCCTTAAACAAAAAAAAACAACCTACGTAGGCCTTATTTGGCCCTAAGGTCTGACATTCCAAAACCCTGAAACCCAAAAACCCGGATAAGCCCGCAAACCCCAAACCCCAAACCCCAAACCCCAAACCCCAAACCCCAAACCCCAAACCCCAAACCCCAAACCCCAAACCCCAAACCCCAAACCCTAAACCCTAAACCCTAAAGCAGTGCAGCCTGCCAGGCCCTCCAGGAGGCCAGGGCGCTGAGGGTCCAAACCTGCAGAGTTGGTTTGGGGTTTTAGGGTTGGGGGTTTGGGGTTTGGGGTTTGGGGTTTAGGGTTTAGGGTTTGGGGTTTAGGGTTCAGGGTTTGGGGTTTAGGGTTGTTGAAGGGCCCAAGGGCTTACGGGTTCAAGGGTTTAGGGGCTGAAGGGCTTAAGGGTTTGGGCGCTTAGGGCGTAGGAAAACTTCTGAGTTTCTTCAGTCCAGACAAGGGCATCAGGGTACTAGTAGGGTATGGGGTTGGGAGTTGGGGGTTTAACGGGCTTATGGTTCGGGTTTTGGGTTTACGCCTTCGGGTTTACAGGGTCAGGGAACTAGCTTAAGAAAGGGTCCTTTGGTGCCGGCAGAGGGCGGATCAAGGAGAGCTGAACGGTGCCGGTGTCGTCAACGGCCTGCGGCAAGTCACTGACCATGTACACATGTAGAATATACTTCGGCCCTGAAGCTACTCTATGGGCACCTCTTCAAGGGCTCAGTATATACTACATAGGTACATGGACCCTTAGGGCGTTTCGAGTTAGTTGGGGGCCTAATTTAATTAGGCAATGACGAGGGTTGTGGATAATTAGAGGAGTTGGCTTGGGGCTTACAGCCGCACCCCGTAGCAAATCGCGACCGAAACAGCCTGACGGCTCAACAATGGAATGCAGGTGCCTTCGCTTGCTCTCACTTTGTACTCTCTCCCCCGCTCCGTCTCTTTTGTCTCTGCGTGTCCCTGTCTTCGCGTCTTCCTGTCTCTGCGCGTCCCTGCCTCCCAATCTCCCAGTCTGCCTGTCTCCCTGTCTCCTTCATTCTCTCTGATTCTCTCTCATTCACTCACTCACTCACTCTCTCTCTCTCTCTCTCTCTTTCTCACTCACACTCTATCTCTCTCTAGCTCCCTTTCTTTCTCTCTCTCTCTCTCTCGCTCTTTTTTGCTCTCCCTCTCATCTCTCTCTCGGTCTTTCGCTCTCTCTTTCTCTCTTTCTCTATCGCACTCTCTCTCTCTCTCTCGCTGTCTACTAGTTCGTTCTGCATTTAATCGCTTACTTCGCTCTTTCTTTCAGACCCCAAAACCTGGGAGGGAGGGGGGTGGCAAGCCCTAGTGGTTGGGGCGACTGGTGCCTTCCCTCAACCCTCAACCCTAAACCAATCTAACCCCACAAGCCCCAAGCTCTAGACACAACCCCCCCCCCCTCCCCCCGAAACCCCTAAACCCTAAACCCCAAACTCTACAGCCCCTAAACCCTGAACCCCAAACCCTACACCCCCCAGACTAAACCTTATAAACCCCAAGCCCTCAGCTCTATAGACCATGCAAGTAGGGGCCCCCTTACTAGACTAACCTTAGTTAAGGGATTTCTAACCTACGTAGTAATACTTATAGCCCAATTTAGGGCCCTTATAACCCTATTTATAACTCGGGGGCCCCTACATGGAGCCCTAAACCCCAAACCCCAAACCCTAAACCTTAAACCCTAAACCCTAAACCCTAAACTCTAAACCCCAAACCCCAAACCCTAAACCCTAAACCCCAAACCCAGGGCGCCTCAGCCTTCTGTGCCGTCCTCAGAAGGAGCTCCTCCTGCGGCTGCGTTTTTTTTGTTAGGGCGGGGGGGGGGGGGGGTTAGGGTTTAGGGTTTAGGGTTTAGAGTTTAGGGTTTAGGGTTTAGGGTTTAGGGTTTAGGGTTTAGGGTTTTTTGGGTTTAGGTTTTTTTTGTTTTTAAGCTGCAAGGTGTAGGTTGGAAAAGGGATGACTTTCGGATTCGGACTTAGGCTTAAAAGAACAGGGCGCCCTGAACCCCCATCCGACTAATATTTCGGTAGAACCCTTTACGGACACCCTGGGAGCGCAGGAAGCTTTTGCTACACTCCGGGGTAAAATTCAGGTAGCTGACCTATACAGCCCATCCTGGTGGATCGATATGTGAAGGTTCACGGCTAGCAGTTCTAGGTAACCCCTAAGGTCCATGCACCCTATCTGGTACATACTTGGGTCTTACAGGGGTTCCCTTCTTGTAGCTTTGGGGCCCAAATGTTTATTCATATGTGTGTATATATATATATACATATAGACATATGTATAAAATACATATACATATATATATATATATGTATTATATCCCCCGTTTTGTATACATTCAAAAATGACATATGCGAAAACGTAAAGGTACATGATCCCTTAGGTCAAGATCAGTTTCGTTAAGTCCCGAAACCCAATTATTCGGTACTTGTCGCCCAACTTGACTGTGCCCATAAACCTTCACGTGCGGCGTAAACCCTCTACCTTAAGCTGTAAACCCTAAACCCTTTTTAAAACCTATAGCTTGCATAGGATGTATAGGGTTTATTGGGTCTATAGGGTAAACCCTCTACCTGAAGCTGTAAACCCTGAACCCGTTTTAAGACCTATAGCTTACATAGGATTTATAGGGTTTATAGGGTCTATAGGGTAAGCCCTCTACCTGAAGCTGTAAACCCTAAACCCTTTTTAAGACCTATTAGCTTACATAGGGTTTTATAGGGTTTAGAGGGTCCATAGGGTAAACCCTCTACCTGAAGCTGTAAACCCTAAACCCGTTTTAAACCCATAGCTTACATAGGGTCTTAATAGGGTTTATTTAGGATACCCCAGAAGGGGTCATAATTTTGACAACCACCCACATAGGGTTTTACAGGGTTTAAAGGGGTGTCTATAGGGGTTGAGGGCAGGGGGCTCCTCCTGCAGCACCGAGGTCCCCGCCTCGGTGCGGGACGCAGATGGAGAGAGCTCTTTCCGTCGAGGGTTGGGGTTTAGGGTTTAGGGTTTAGGGTTTAGGGTTTAGGGTTTAGGGTTTAGGGTTTAGGGTTTAGGGTTTAGGGTTTAGGGTTTAGGGTTTAGGGTTTAGGGTTTAGGGTTTAGGGTTTAGGGTTTAGGGTTTAGGGTTTTGTGTTTAGTGTTTAGTGTTTAGGGTTTAGGGTTTAGGGTTTAGGGTTTAGGGTTTAGGGTTTAGGGTTTAGGGTTTAGGGTTTAGGGTTTAGGGTTTAGGGTTTAGGGTTTAGGGTGGGCTTTAAGGCTCTACTATAGGGGCCTGAACAACTAGCATAGGGTCTTGGAGGTCATTTAAATTTTAGAAGCAGAAAGGCCACAAGGGAACACCGTCAGTAACCACTGCGACCCCTAGATTGCGGCGTTGGAGCTTCATGCCGGTAGGGGTTTCACAGCAAAGCTTTTCGGGCTTGAGGGCTCCCCCCTCCCCCACCCCCCCCCCCCCCCCCCCCCCCCCCCCCCCCCGCTTGCCCCTCAAGGCCAGGGTTTAGGGTTTAGGGTTTAGGGTTTAGGGTTTAGGGTTTAGGGTTTAGGGTTTAGGGTTTAGGGTTTAGGGTTTAGGGCATGAATTCCCTAAACCCTATACCCTAAACAGAGACCCCAGCCCAAACAAAGAGAAGGGTTGGTGGATGATAGGAATTCTGGCGGCTTATGGGTGAATTAAGGGCTTACAGGCTTACAGTGTAGGGTCTCAGGGTTTAGGGATTAGGGCTTAGGGAGTAGGGGTTAGGGTTTGGAGTGCAAGGCTTGATCCAGCCTACTGTGCACTGCCGAGGTGCCAGAAGGCGCTGTTCCTGCAGCCACGAGCTTTTTTCAGACGGCAACACATGCCCCTAAGCCCTAAACCCTAAACCCTAAAAGGTACACAGTGGGGCCAAAGCCTAAACCTAAAAGTACCTGGATACTTGTTGGGCAGCGCGTCGGGTCTAGTCCATAACTGAATGCGACCGCCGAAAAATCGAAACAAACCCTGAACCTAACCCCAAAGAAGCCTAAACCCTAAGCCCAAATAAACCTAAACCCAAATATACCCTAAACCCAATAAACCCTAAAACCTTATATGAGAAGCCGACGCCTTGGACTCCATGCATAAGCCTGCCAGCCCTCCTAGAACCCTCAACCCTAAAGCACGCAAAAAAAAAAAACCTGAAACCCAGCCTAAAACCCCAAAACCCTCAACCCGAAACACCTAAACCCTATATATCAGCCACGCCAACGCCCTGCAAACCCTAAACGAAGGCACACAACTAGAAAACCCTCAAACTTACAAACATAAAGGCACTAACAGCTTATGAGTCTTCACCTTCAAACCCTATATACAAACCCTAAAGCCACCAACACATTAAAGACAAAATTCCCTTCTAAACCCTCAACCCTATACCCTCAACCCTCAAGCCTAACCCCAAACCCTAAACCCTAAACCCTAAACCCTAAACCCCAAACCCTAAACCCGGCGCCTTGCGGGGTACCTCCAGGGCGGTCTGAAGCGCCAGCTTCGCGTCGAGGACGGTGGCCGTGTCTGGCACGAAAAGGATTCAGGGGTTTAGGGTTTAGGGTTTGGGGTTTGGGGTTTAGAAGGGTTTGGGGGTTTAGCCTGATTCATAGAGTTTAGGGTTTGGGGTTTGGGGTTTGGGGTTTAGGGTTTAGGGTTTAGAAGAGTTTAGGGGTTTAGAGATGCTTTGGGTGCATATAGCCCGAAACCCTAAATCCCCCAAATAGCCCTAAACCCTATATTACCCTAAACCCCAAACCCGAACATGCCGGAATCTTGGGGGATGTCAGGTGTTCAGGCCAACCCCAAACCCGACGAAGAGGCAAGGCGCCTGGGAGCCGAATGCGGCACTCCCGGCCAGCCAGGGTCCGCACCAAGACATCCATGGCTCGTGTTTTCGGGTTCAGGGTTAGGGTTTAGGGTTTAGGGTTTAGGGTTTAGGGTTTAGGGTTTAGGGTTTAGGGTTTAGGGTTTAGGGTTTAGGGTTTAGGGTTTAGGGTTTAGGGTTGAAAACAAAGAAGGACTACACAGCGATAGTTTGGGTAGGTTTCTGTGCTACGCAATGGTGGATGGGCATGGAGCCATAGAGAACAACACGCTGCAAGGAGGGGTGTAAGGCTCTGATTTTAAGAGTGGTTAGCTCTTAAACCCGAAAACTCGTTGCTCCTGATCACTTCGACCCTAAACACAAAACGGGGCTGAAACAAGCCTAGCTTGCGCTTCAAAGGTATACAAGTACGGTTTAGGGCACAGGGTTTAGCGTACCGGAATAGAACTCGCCTAAGAAAAGCCAAGGCCACGTTGCTACCCTAAACCCTGACGCCCTATCAGCCTGCGCCGTCGTCCTTAAACCAGCCCTAAACATTTAACCCTATAAACCCAAAACTCTAAACCTTTCCCCAACGTTAGGCCCTAAACCCTACACCTTACTTGTGCCTACGCATCACACGCAAACCAAAAAAAAAGTTGGAAACTCCCTCAAACAAAAGCAGCTGTCCTGTAAAACGCCCTAAGCTCTGAGCCCCGCAGCCCTCAACCAACACAAAAGCCCTAAACACCAACCCCCCCAAGAAACCCCAAACCCCGGACCACCCCTCCCCCCCACCCCCACAAAAAAAAAGCCTCCACAGACCCAAACATGGTGTCTTTGAAAGCTGTAGTAACCTAATCCCTAAACCCTAGAAGAAGAAAAAACCGTCTAGACCCAGGGATAGAAGGGCGCCCGTTGTTTTTGTTAAGGGGCCTACAAGGCAGCCCCAACTTTAACCAAAAAAAAGGGAATAAGGGCCCACTCTAAGTCCTAAACCCTAAGCCCTGAACCCTAAACCCTAGACCCTATGCCCTGAACCCTAAACCCTAAACCCTAAACCCTAAACCCTAAACCCTAAACCTTTGTAGGGAACCTCAGGGCCCTGGCCAAAGAGGGTCTGGTTCTTGGCAAGGCCAGCTGCGAGGATGCCACAGTCCTGGCGTTTAGGGTTTAGGGTTTAGGGTTTGGGGTTTGGGGTTTGGGGTTTAGGGTTTAGGGTTTGGGGTTTAGGGTTTGGGGTTTGGGGTTTGGGGTTTAGGGCTTGGGGTTTGGGGTTTGGGGTTTGGGGTTTAGGGTTTAGGGTTTGGGGTTTGGGGGTTTAGGATTTGGGGTTTAGGGTTTTGGGTTTGGGGTTTGGGGTTTAGGCTTTCGGGGTTTCGGGTTTGGGGTTTGGGGTTTGGGGTTTAGGGTTTAGACCCTACTCGGCTGGTCCTTTGCTTTCTGAAAAAAGACTCCGGCGGATGATCTTCTTAACCCCAATAAGAGAAATCATAGCCCATGCCAAGGGGCTTTTGTGACCGAGCCTGGAGGGTACAGGGTCGTTGGAGTTCAGGCCTTAGATTTAGGGTTTAGGGTTTAGATTTAGGGTTTAGGGTTTAGATGTAGGGCTTAGGGTTTACAGGTTCTAGAGATGTCAGGGCGGAGGATTGATTAAACTTGGGTGGATTGCTTCTTCCGTGCCGGCAGCTGCGGTTACTCTGGCAACGAGGTCCTCGAGCTACATGAGCTTCTTCATCTGGGTGAAAGTGCTCTGTGCTCTTCCGAACTCGCCTTGCGGAAGGCAAGCTGTAGCGTCATGCTGTTCATGAGCGTGTCGGTGTCGCCGAAGCATCCCTGCACTGACCCCCCACATCATTCATTCCACGTTGTGGGCACCGGCTCGAGTGCAGGCCACATTCTTATGCCCTTCCGCCAGTGATTGGTGGACCGTGCTTTGTGAAACGTGATAGAAGGATAAGAGCAGGTCAGCAAGCTCAAGCTCAAGCACAGCATCCATACCAGGCGACCATACCGTTACGCCTGCGCTCCGGAAGACATCTGCAGGTGACGCAGCGACAAACATGCCACCGAACTTTGTCTCAAGCCCAAAATCCCCCAAACCCCCCAAAACCTGAATTCCTACTTCCTAGACCCGAAATCCCTAAACCCTAAACAAAAACCCTCAACCCTTAACCCTAAGCCCTAAACCCTCAACCCTTAACTCAAAACCCTCAGCCTGCAACATTCTGTGAACCCCAAGAAACCCTTAAAAAAACCCTCAACCCTCAACCCTCAACCCTTAACCCAAAAACCCTCTGCCTGCAGCATTCTGTGAACCCCACTTGGAGGTTCATGGTACTTATTAACCAATTATAACTGTACTTATAACTGTATTTCTAACCATATTAGGGCACTTATGGGGATTATAAGTACAGTTACACTTGGTTAATAAGTACCATGAACCTCCAAGCAAGACCCCAAGCTTCAACATCGGGCCAATCCTCGGCATCAAAGCCGTTGTAGGAGAGATCCTCAGGCTGCCCCAGAAGACCGACATCCCAAGAAGCCCGTTAACCCTTAAAAAACACCCTTAAGCCCTAAACCCTAAACCCTAAACCCTAAACCCTAAACCCTAAGCCCTGAACCGTATAAACCACCCTATGCACCCGAAACCCAGTCTAAGACCTTGAGATCTGAAACATGGCTGACAGGGTCCTAGGAGCTGTGGGCCCTGTGCCACCAGGGTTTACATAAAGGGTTTAGGGTTTACATGGTTTTCGAGTTTAGGGTTTAGGGTTTAGGGTTTACATGGTTTTCGAGTTTAGGGTTTAGGAGTTAGGGTATGGTAAAGGGGTTTAGGGTTCAGAGTTTACCAGGGCCTTGCTAGCGACATTCGGTGACGGAGCCTCCTGGACTAAGGGCCTTTGGAAGAGTACTCTTTGTAAGGCTTTTGGGGTATGCATCGAAGATAAGGGGTTGTATAGAGGCCGGGGCCAGCTACCCGCCCGAAGCCGTCTTAAACCAAAGAGTTATTTGGAGCCTCCCTAGGTTATATGGAGTAGGGTTCTTATTTCTTGTACCCCCAAAAGGACACCCCGCATATACACTCACCAATATTAAAAAGTAACCTCATATACACTCACCAAAAACAGTAATATAAACCCTGTTTCATATAAATCAGGGAAGAGTCGGTCTGTAATGTTGAACACACATCGGCCTCGGCTCGAAACCCTCCGTCCTAAACACCCTCAACCCTATACCCTCAACCCCCAGACTCTAAACGGCCCTAAACTCTCCTATCTCTAGCAGCCCCCCAAACCCACGCAACCTCGACTCCAACAGGGGCTCTTTTTCAACAGGGGGTCGCAGCTCTCTTTTTCTTCACAGGAAGCGATACCACGTCTCGGCGTCTTGGTGGTAGAAGGTGCACCTTAGAAGCGCAAACGCTGGCTTAGGCTGTAGCCCGGGTTGAGTTTTTTGTTCACCTACACTGGGTGGGTCCAGGGTTTCCAGCTTCACAAGTTCAGTAACCAATGAATGGAAAGGCAAACTACATGTGAATAGGAGCCGTTTGCTTCATGAGGTTCACGAAGAGGAGTGCCCCGAAAAGGGCTTCGAAACAACAGAGGAGGTCGATAGTGCTTTAGGGGTTTAGAGGTTGGAGGGCTGATAGGGCTTCGCCGGCGTCAGGTCCTGCGCAGGCTGGTACCGGAAACCCCAAACGCTCCACCCTAAACCCAAAACCCGGGACCCTATGCTCACAACATGGGCAGGAAGCACCGCTGGCTCCGGGTGGAAATCTAGGCGGGGTTAGGGGACTAAGCCCTGAGCCCTTAGAACTGAAAGTTCAAACCCTAAACCCTAAACCCTGGGGGCTTAGGTTCTATTGAGGTTTAACCTTTAAACCCCCAAATCCCGATTTCCAAGGAACAAGGGCCCACCTTCTGTAAGGACACTTGCCTGCAGCCGGGGCTCGAGCGGCCTCCGCCAGGGCATGCTTTATTCTTTAGGGTTTAGGGCTTGGGGTTTAGGGTTTAGGGGTTTATAGTGTTACGTGGAGTTCAGTGACCTAACGCATTATCTGAACAGTACCTATAACCCCTAATGATAAACCCTAACCAAGCCCTAACTAAACCCCAAGTAAACCCCCAAGAAAGCCGTATTCTGGGTCCGATGTCAGCCAACAGCACCGCCTCAGAGTAGTGTGCGCTTGTACGGAGGTTTAGGGTTTAGGGTTTAGGGTTTAGGGTTTAGGGTTTAGGGTTGAAACTGCAACCCTTTATCCCTGTATTGACAACGCCCCTGATAGGAACCTGAGTATGATCAGAGCCGAGTCACAGAGGAACCCTAAACCGTAAACCCCAAACCGTAAACCCTAAGCCCTAAACCCTAAACCCTAAACCCTAAACCCTAAACCCTAAGTAAACCCTAAACCCTAAGTAAACCCTAAACCCTAAAGAACCCTAAACAGGTGTGTTCACAGCCAGGGCACGGGGTCCGTTGAGTCGAAACCGCTGGCGGAAGTGGTGGAAGCCTCGTTTGGATTGGGGCTTAGGGCAAATCAGGGTTGGTGTGCGGATATACCCGAAACCCTAAACCCTGAACCCTAAACCCTAAACACTAAACCCTGAGTTTAGGGCTGCCAAGCTTGCTGCACTGTAGGGGATACAGGCTTCGGTAGCTTGCCCTGCATGCTTCAGGAACACCACACCCAAACCGTTTAAAGGGTCCCGAAACCCTATAACCTAGACTCTCTAGGCCCCAAAGTCGAAACTCAAAAACAAGCCCAAAGTAGGTAGCATTTCGGTTTTAAGGGTTTAGGGTCCCCGAAGTAGACCATTAAACATCGGACCCCAAACCATCAACCCTCAACCCTATGGCGTTTAGGGCTGCTTTATATTCTACTATCAAGGGACGTATGATAGGGAGTGCTGTTGCTGTAAAGGGGCGGACACCATCTGCTGAGACCCTAATGCCCAGATGCAAGCCTGGGGCTGCAATTCTGATATGATACACGTAGGGCTTAGGGTTGAAAGTTTAGGGTTTAGGGTTTAGGGTTTAGGGTATCCAAAAAAAGCCCTAAACACTCAACCCTAA